GTCACCACGAGAAGCACCTACAGCGACTATGCTCTTCTCCGCTGCAAGGAGGGCCTTCTCGAGGAGGTCGACGGTGAGGGTGGTGGGACAGACTGCGAGAAAGTGGTCCCTGACGACGCGAAGGGAGTCAGGGAGGCGCGCGACTACGTAGTAGAGAGCGATGTACATGGGGGGGGGGTTCTTAGCGCAGAACTCAGCAGGAAGGGCGGCGCGGTAGCGAGTGTCACTAGTGCGGAGGTGCGTAATGAGGTCAGCGACAGTGGGAAAGGCAGAGAGGTCAGGAAAGAGGTAGGGAAGCATGAGACGGCTCAGTGCAGCAGTGGCAGGGGAGGAGTAGCGCGCAACTACAGCGTCGTACAAGGTCTGAGCACTCTTGTACTGACTAAAGTGCGCACGCTCAGAGGTAGGGAGGTGGCGACGCACAGCAAGACGTGCAGCAGCATCGCGGGTGGCCCACTTAGAGCGGACAGCGGGATCAGCATCAGCAGCAGGAGCAGGAGAGGCGCCAGAGGTGAGGTCAAAGAGAGAAAGGTCGTCAGTCCTGTCGCACTGTAAGAACAGCTGCAGGTCGTCTAACCAGACCTCAAATCAATGGCGCGACCCTCAGCGTCAAAAGCTAGGACACTAGGGGTAGCCATGGCGACGACAGCGACGCAGTGCAAGCAGTAGGGAAAGAGCTCGCAGTGGCAGTGGGACTGTGCTCACCAGGCAGGGCAGGTCGAGTAGGTATGCAGAAAGGCGGCTCAGCGACCTGGCGGCTCGGGCGCAGGGCGGCTCGGCTCCCGGGCGGCTCGGCGGCAGGGCAGCTCGGGGGCAGGGCGGCTCGGCTCCCGGGCGGCTCGGCGACAGGGCGGCTCGGGTGCAGGGCGGCTCGGCTCCCGGGCGGCTCGGCTGCAGGGCGGCTCGGCTCCCGGTAGTAGGTGGGCGGCGGGGCCGCGCGAGAAGACGGCCGGGGCCGCTACGGTAGTAGGCGGCGGGGCCGCGGTCGAAGAGGCGGCTGGCGTCGCGGTCGTAGCAGGCGGCGGCGGGGCCGTGCAAGCAGGCGGCCGGAGCCGCGGTAGTAGAGGGCGGCGAGGCCGCGCTAGCAGGCGGCCGGGGCCGCGACAGTAGCGGGCAGCGGGGCCGCGGTCGAACAGGCGGCTGGGGGGGGGGGGGCGCGGTCGAGCAGGCGGCCGGGGCCGCGGTAGTAGCGGGCGGCGAGGCCGTGCGAGCAGACAGCCGGGGCCGCGACAGGAGCGGGCGGCGGGGCCGCGGTCGAACAGGCGGCTGGGGCCGCGGTCGTAGCAGGTGGCCGGGGCCGCGATCGTAGTGGGCGGCGGCCGCGGCGGAGCGGGCGGCAGGGCCGCGTCGAGTAGGCGGCTGGGGTCCGCGTCGAGCAGGCGGCTGGGGGCCGCGACAGGAGCGGGCGGCGGGGCCGCGGTCGAACAGGCGGCTGGGGCCGCGGTCGTAGCAGGCGGCCGGGGCCGCGATCGTAGTGGGCGGCGGCCGCGGCGTAGCGGGCGGCAGGGCCGCGTCGAGCAGGCGGCTGGGGGGCCGCGTCGAGCAGGCGGCTGGGGGCCGCGTCGAGCAGGCGGCTGGGGCCGCGATCGTAGCGGGCGGCTGGGGCCGCGAGTTAGCGGGCGGCCGGGCCGCGTGTGGGAGGGAGGCGACACGGAGGGTCGCTCGATAGCGGAAAAAAAAGTTGAGCGCGCCTCGGGGCGCGCTTCGGTGGGCCCTAGGCAGAGTTCCACAGGGAACCCGCTCTATACCATGTGAAATGAGTAAGCAGGAATGAAATGACTAAGGAAAGATTGGGTACAAATACAACCCTAGAAACCGTGTACCCCATATGTGCTACCCCACTATAGCCTACAGCAACTATGTCATATAAATCTGACAGCTTCTTGGGCTGACGACCAGGCTACGCAGCGGTCGTCACAGGGTTACTCCTTCGGCCTTGGTTCCGGCTCTGTTTCGTGGCGGGCTACTCGCTCGTCTTCTGTTCTCGGCTCCAGTTGTGAGGCTGAGATCTACGCCGGGGCTATGGCTGCACAGGAGTTACGCTGGCTCACCTACCTGCTGACCGACCTTGGAGAGCCGCCTCGTTCTCCTCCAGTCGTGTACGTAGACAACAAGGCCATGCTGGCCTTGTGTCGAGAGCAGCGACTGGAGCACAGGACAAAGCACATTGCTCTCCGCTACTTTCTTGCTCGTGAGCTACAGCAGCGTGGACAGTTGCGACTTGCGTACGTGGCCTCTGAGGCCAACACTGCTGATGTCTTCACCAAGGCACTTGCACCTTGTGATCATCAGCGTTGCTGCACTCAGCTGGGTCTTGTGCCTGTCTTGCCTCACTTGCTCACTTCTTGACCTTGCTTGTACCTTCACCTATATATACTCTTGTTCTTGCTTGCTTGACTCTTGTATATCTCTATATATGATCTTGCATGTGAACTGGCCTTGAGGCCTTTGAATTTGTGCTCGGAATGTGTGGTGACTTTGTGATCCACCCTGAGCTTTGCTTTGCTTTGCTTGACTGGTCTTGTGACCCCTTGTTCTCCCCCACTTTGCCTATGGGGGTGTGTCAGAACATTATAGCTTACTTGTTTGTGTAGGCTATAGTGGGGTATCCCATAGGGGGTACAACCCAATTAGGGTTTCCTATTTGTACTCACCTCGTTCGTAGTCAATTCATTCTCGTTCACTTCTTCTCACCACCACCATTACTCAGTTGTTCGCGAACCTTCCTAAGGTGGTCCTAGAGTCGATCAACATCTGATCGCAACAGTTGCAACGGAAGATATTGACCTCAGGTCATAGTGAATTTAAAATGACTGAGATGATGATAACATGCAAATACAACGATTTATATAAGAGTACAAGGGAATCCGAAAAGTCATAGACAAGCCATGTAGAGGGTGCATTCCCTTATTCAAATTCAAACCCAACAGTGCGGTGCGGGCAGTTACGAAAACCGTTCCCGCCAAATTTCTCGGTCCTGCAGCTGCCCGATGATGTCTGCCCCGACAGTCCAGATGCTTCGTAACCGTGCACGTTGCTTTGACCCTTCACCTTCGTACTCTCTAATGTGTTCCTCGTTCTTGCTACTGGCAGGAATTCACAGTAACACTGCTCATTTTACTATTCGTAACAGCTTGCACACACCACGTTACTGCTTGCTTGCCTTCTCTATAAATGTCCGCCCACATTTTCACTCACATTGTACTGGTTTGACCTTCTGGTGCAATCTTCACTTTAATTGCACTCATAACATTATTATAACCTTTCTCTACACTCTTGATGAAGGCCTTGCATATGAAGACACACTTGACGAAGCAGACAAGTCTCTGACTCCATGCCAATCAAAGCTGGAGTGCTGCGCTCCCCAAGAAAGACTTCTGGAGTAGGCTTGCTGGCTCTTCGTTTGTTTGCTACGTCCCTCTGTGAAGCGTTGCCAAAGATTTTCGGACTCAAAGGTGTCCGCAATGTGTTAGTTTGCCGTCCACTCGTGTGAAATAAGACAAGCGGACGGTTACGAGGGAAAGGCAAATGTGGTGGTTTTCCTGCCAGCAATGCAAGGTGGTGGCCAGTCCACTGTTCTCCCGCCACGGGTTAGGAATTTGCGTGGCTTTAGCTCTTCGAAACGTTACCACCTAATCTCAAATCTACGGCAGCATTACGTTGGGTGGTGGACAGTCCTTGCTTTGCCTCGCCGCACGCTTGAACTTCCCTTCGAAAACCGCGTTGGCAGCAGTTTTTTCCTTGGACATATATTTATGGAGCCTGTTGTTTGACCTCGCTCCTTTGGGTCTCGTGGCAGGTTGTTTGTCACACGGGTGTGTTTCCGACAGATAGGGTTGTAAAAGTGCCCCGGCAGCCCTTTGCGGAATCAATTACTGTAGACAGAGTTTCATCGAGCTGTGTTTACGTGAAGCTCAGGCTTCACTGTACCCTGGAAGGACCTTGGCTCGGTCGGTGCTTGACCTACGCGGAAAACGACGAGCAGGATGGGAGAGACGTTAGAGCAGAGCAACGGAGAGGGCGAAGCAGGTATGGAAGGGGTCTAGGTTTGGGCGGGCGGGAAAGGGTGCGACGCGAAGCATACGGCAAGGAAACAGGGAGACGAAGAATCTAGGATGCCGTGGCTGGAAACAAGTGTTGCCGAACCAACTCTTCGCCAGCCGAGCTATCCCTGCCACTCGCGTCACATCCTCAGGGATCTCCGTCTTCCATGTGCGGTTGCATGCATCACACCCATGGTCTTTTCCCCGGGAATCGCGCCGGGACACTTATTTTCAGCGAATTGTCACCCCGACCCCGGGCCGGGCCAAGCTCCTCGTGCGAACGCCACTTGATCACGAACGCAGCCGTCTTTTGAGACTTCCCCCCTAATTCTCTATGACGAAAGTCATGGCCCTCCAGCAGCCGACTCAATTTGTAGCCGCGAGCATTAATGCTGTGAACCAGACGGATGATTCATCGTTTCGAGTAACATTTATACAGAGTCGGACTCTACTAGGACTCCCAGTTATACAGAGGCTTTGCCAATCCGACAGGAGAGCCGAACCCCCAGTCAAGCGACAGCCCACTGAGCCGTGCTGTTCTCTTCAAAAGTCTCTGCTCAGTGACGAGCGATTTCGGCCTCGCAGACTTTATCATCGGATCGGTTTCTCTTGTGGCTTACGGCGTCTTATTCCTCCTACAGAGCCACTGGCAAGGCTTTCGACTGAGAGGTCGATCGAGCGGCTTCAATCGGAGCAGGAACGATGAGCTCTGGTAACTTTAGGTTAAGTGGATTCGGAAAGGCAACTTATGGTGTCAGTCGTACTGACATTAAAGGGAGGAGCCGGCGCCAGCGTGCGACAGGAGCACTTTGGAAACCGGAGGTACATTCAACTGAACCGTTCTTCACTCTGCGTAACCGCTGAGTGATACCCATTTCTTACACTCTGAATCTTTGAAGTTCTTATTTTTTTCTCAATTGAGGTGGGTAAGTTGTTTGAGGTGACGTCTTGGCTCGGATGTGTGTGCAGGAAGACAGGATCTTATTGGCCCACGTGGCAAGGCATGGCACAAAGAAGTGGAGGCATATCAAGTCCATGGGTCTGCTCCCCACGCGAAACCACAAGGCGTGCTGTTACCGCTTCATCGTTCTTACGAGGTACACACGGTTCTGCTTTTTGACGCACGACTCTGCTTTTATGGCTCTGTGCATTGGCGTGGCGTGACTCTGTCGAATCAGTAGGTACTACTGAGTCGACTCAAGGCTCTGATGACGCATTAATCTGCACAGCCTCAATTGGGTTGACTCACTCTCAGTGCATGGAGAGGTGACGAATCTCCACCATTCACATTGTACACGTCTGGAATATGACGGTATAATTCTACTAAGTGTTGACTTTGCTGAGAGTGCATGTGCGGCGACCAACCCTTGGACATGTTAGATCTCTTTCTGTACTGTGCCGTCGTTTGACACGTGCAGGTAGTAATTGTCGAAGCTGCGTCCGCTCACACAGGGCATATCCGTCTGAACCTGGCTGAGGATGTTGGAGTGTCAATGTTTAGAATTCTAAAGATTGACTCCGTTCAACCCTCTGACATGTCCAATCTCTTTCCGTACTGTGTCATTCGACACTGGCAGGTGATTGTCGAAGCTGTGTCGGCTCACACAGGGCAGGTCCGTCTGAACCGGACTGAGGATGTAACGATGGCGTCGACGTGGGAGGAGAAGCAAGTGCGCGGAACAATTTACCTCTGAGATGTTCCACTTGTTCTTGCACTTCTCTCTTTCAGACTCGTGACAGATGCAAGTGCGGCGAGCGGCGAGCAAACCTCTGACACGTTCATATCTCTTCCTGTTCTGTGCTGTGTCTCTCTGACACGTACAGGAGAGGAGATAGTAGAAGCTGCATGAACTTGCACGAGGCCGGCCCGTCTGAACCTGGCCGAGAATGCAACGACAGCGATGACACAGATGGCAGTGCGGCAAGCAACCTTCCGACATGACAAGTTCTGTTTTGTTCGGTTTCTAATTCTTCTCGTGACGTTTCTTCCATTACGTGCAGGCAGTTCTCGAGGCTGCATCAGCTCTCAGAATCCCCAGACTTTTTAGCGACTCAAAAGCCCTCCGACATGACATGTTCGACTTTGTTCTATTCCTTCTCGTGAAATTTCTTCCAATGTGTGCAGGAAGTTCTCGAGGCTGCATCAGCTCCCTGGAGCCCCAAACCCGGGTGCAGAGGCGGTTTTTGAAGCGCCTGAGGAATCGTCGAGGTTTCTACTCACAAAAGTCCCAGACTTGGCTGCAGAAACGATTTTCAAGGCGCCTACAGGATCGCCGTCGACATTGCGTCAACTCACAGGAGCCTCAGAAATGGGTGCAGAGGCGACAATCCCAATGACATCGGCAAAAGATATGGCGATGATGATCATGCAGAGGACATCAAAAGAAAGGGAAGACCCGTCGAGGTTGCTTCATCAGCTTATGGGAGACTCAGGAATGGCTGCAGAGGCGACAGCCCCAATGCCGATGGCATCGGCAAAGGATATGGCGATGATGATTATGCAGAGGACATTGAAAGAAAGGGAAGATTTGTCAAGATTGCATCAGCTCACAGGAGACTCAGGAATGGCTGCAGAGGCGACAATCCCGATGTTCATGGCGTCAATAAAGGATATGCCGATGATGAAAAGGCAGAGGGCGTTGAAAGAGCGAGCTGACTGCGACCCTCTCAGCTCTTCATCATTCTCCGACTATCAGGTCGAAGATGCACGCAGGAGGAGCGCTGCACAGGAACTGCTGGAATCAGGTCCTGAGGAGTTGACGGAGGCAACTCAGAATCTTTGCGAGGGAATTGCTGAAGAACTGCTACTAGAATCAGGTTCTGAGGCGCATCAGAGTGTCTACAGAAGCGTTGCTGAGGAGCGGTTTGACTTAGCTACACCTGACTTTCAACCTGGAGCAACGGTTCTGGCAACCAACAGAGGAAATGTGGAGGAGGAGGAGGAGGAGGAGGAGGAGGAGGAGGAGGAGGAGGAGGAGGAGGAGGAGGAGGAGGAGGAGGAGGAGGAGGAGGAGGAGGAGGAGGAGGAGGAGGAGGAGGAGGAGGAGGAGGAGGAGGAGGAGGCGGCAGATGCAGCAGCAGGTCTTGTTTCAGAAGAAGCATTGGATTCTGCAACGAATGAGGCAGCACAGGAGAGGATGCTTGGAATCACAACTCCAGCAGTAGCAGCAGCCACCGTCACCATTGCATGTGCTCCCTCATCACCCATTTTGGAATTGAATGTAATCGAAACATTCCTGCTGGGTGAAATGCCTCAGCAGCAGCAGCAGCAGCAGCCGGAAAGGGTTTTCAACGCCAGCAGCAGTATACAGGGTGAATCGGTCTGGGCACCTGACCAGGATGTTGCGTGTGCTACAGGAGTCAATACATGTGCCACCCCTGCTGGCCAGCCTGGCATTGACAACTACCAATGCTGCAGCGTGAATTGGGATGGCACTGCAGTTCTTTCCCCCTTGGCTGATTCGTTTCCTCCTGCTCCCGGTGCAGGAGCAGCACAGGAACTGCTTCCCCCTGCTGCTGTGCCTCCTGATGTGGTTGATCTGGTTTTTGAGAATTCTCAAAAACCAGCAGGAGCAGCACAGGAACCGCTCCCTCCTGCTGCTGTACCTTCTGATATGGTTGAGCCTGGCTGTGCCGTCGTGGCATTGGCTGATAATTCCGATTGGCTCGCTGCAGCTGATAATGCTATCGCATCGTTCCTTATCGAGGCTGAGCTGATCAGAATCAATAAAGTTCTGCTGCAGACCGCAGAATCAGCACCGCACTCCACTCCTCTGTCTTCCTCCCCTGGCAGTTCGCTAGCAGCTATCCAGGACCAAGGCTCCCAAAGGCTATCATCCCAATTAACCCAGTCAGCCCACCCTAACCACTCAAGCTTCCATCTGAACCCCATGGAAGTTACTGTTCTTACTGCCACTGAATTACTACCAGCAATGCCGTCTACTGTTAGCATGTCAGCGCCCTCTCTGCTCTCATCTCAGTTAACCCACCCCGACCACTCAAACTACCGTGCAAACCCCTTGCAAGTTGCCACTCCTACTGCCACTGCGCAAGCACCAGTGCCGTCTACTGTCAGCATGTCAGCGCCCTCTCTGCTCTCATCTCAGTTAACCCACCCTAACCCCTCAAACTTCCATGCAAACCCCTTGCAAGTTGCCACTCCTACTGCCACTGCGCAAGCACCAATGCCGTCTACTGTCAGCATGTCAACGCCCTCTCTGCTCTCACCAGTGCCTTCATATGCTGCTGCTACGCCTCCCTCCGTTGACCCTTTTGCTACTTTTCCGTCCGTTGCTGCTGCTCCTCCCGCTGTCACTCCTGCTCCTGCATCTGCTGCTGCTGTGTATTCTCTGGGGTGCATCCCTTTTCCAGAACCCAGGGGCAGAGAGGCTGTGAGCAGAGAGGCTGTTGCTGTCGATTCTCTGGGGTGCATATTTCTACCAGAACCCAGGAGCAGTGAGGCTGTGAGCATGGAGGGGTGTTTGAAACCAGACGAGCTGTTTGAAGCGTGGTGCAACGGATCCTTCACCCGAGTGAGTGAGTGGTGTGAGTGGCAACTCATTGCATGGTCTGGTTGGTTTGGTTGGTCTGGTTGGCACTTGATAATCTAGGAGGCGTCTCAAATGCATGGTGCAATGGGTCCTCCAGAGTGAGTAGGTCAGTGGCATGAGACGGCTGGCATGAGATGTCTGGCATGAGACGGCTGGCATGAGACGGCTGGCATGAGACGGCTGGCATGAGACGGCTGGCATGAGACGGCTGGCATGAGACGGCTGGCATGAGACGGCTGGCATGAGACGGCTGGCATGAGACGGCTGGCATTGAGACGGCTGGCATGAGACGGCTGGCATGAGACGGCTGGCATGAGACGGCTGGCATGAGACGGCTGGCATGAGACGGCTGGCATGAGACGGCTGGCATGAGACGGCTGGCATGAGACGGCTGGCATGAGACGGCTGGCATGAGACGGCTGGCATGAGACGGCTGGCATGAGACGGCTGGCATGAGGTGGCTGGCATGAGACGGCTAGCATGTGATTGCTGGCATGTGATTGCTGGCATGTGATTGCTGGCATGTGATTGCTGGCATGTACATGGCGTTGAATGCCATGGATTGATGTGCAGTTGTAGCATATAGGTTAAGATGTTGTGTGCGGCAATCGGTATGGCATAAATGTTGTTACACGTTGACGATGGCACTTTCTTTGTGCTTTTTTCTTCTTCCTCGTTTCTTGTGTGTGGCAGGTACTTCACGGCTTCTAGGTGAAAATCTGAAGCTCTTGCTGACTTATACAGTTGGATAACTCCTCTTGCTCATACCGTAATACCAGTATTTATGCTCAGGGCTCATTCTTACACCTAATACAGAGTGGTCCGATCCAAGCCTGACAGAAGGATGTGATGTGAGACTACACCCTTGGGGTTCAGTGTTTTAGTCGTGATCTTTATTCTGTACTGTTTAAGTTTTGTTTGCTTAAACCAACCTTTGGTGATGAGGTGATGATGAAGTGGAGGTCCCTTTGATGTTACTCTATCCACTGTTTCAATTAGAATGTGATAATATTCTAATGATATTCTCCACCTTCATCTTATGATAATTTGAATGTGTGTTCTGTGAAGTGTTCCACCACTGCCGAGAGAGCTGTTCAAAATACATTTCATTAAAGAAGCACAGAACAACAAAGCCCACCGACTAAACCCACCCTACCCTGTCCCAGATTTCACCTCTTACTTATTATATCACTCTGGGACTCGGAACCATGGCACTAAAACTACCATGCCACAAACAAAAACCCGAGACAGGCCGAGATTGGAGCTGAGAGATGAACCACTGCAGTGGTCAACCCCGACAGAAGAGGAAACCGAATGGGCGCTTGCAGGGGTTGCAAGCCATGTTGACGATCACATGTGCACTGCAGGCACGGACAACGACAGAAGAGAGAGAACCGTGGTGTGGGAGTGAGTGAGAGCAAATCAAAGATTAACCAAAGGGGCGCTTGCAGGGGGTTGCAAGCCAGTTAACAATCACATGCGCACTGCATGTGAAGAGAGCAGCAGGAGGGGGAGGGGGGGGGACAGTGGAGAGTGAATGGGAGATTCAAGAAGTAACCAGAGGGGCGTTTGCAGGGGTTGCAAGTCAGGTTGACGATCACATGCGCACTGCAGGCGCAGGCAACAACAGAAGGGTGAGAACCGTGGTGAGGGAGTGAGTGAGCCAATTCAAGAGGAAACCTAAGGGGCGCTTGCAGGGGTGTGCAAGCCATGTTGACAATCACATGCGTGCTGCAGGCACGGGCAACAACAGAGGGATGTTTTGCGCATTGGATTGGGGTTTCCGCTTAGGGTTCATTCAGCGTGTTAACAAAAAAAAAACAAAAAAAAAAGCGCGAAAATAAAAAATGGAACTAGCGATCATGGAGGCACAGATAGTGAATGAGCTGAGAGGAGAGTAGTACTAACAGGGAGATGGCTTAAGTTTAGAGTTCTCAAATGAGATGGAACAAGTGAGCGATAGGACGCATAGATGGTGATCATGCTGGTGAGTAAGAGGATGATGGCTTACTCCTCGTCATGCATGTTGTTAGTGTCAAACGCCGAGTCCTTGTATGCAAACATGAGAATGTTCTTGCCCTTGGGGTTGAAGGTCACAGGGCTGCCATCACTCGCAGACCGCTCGAACCTGCCAAGCAAGAGAGATGACAACAGGAAAAGGGGGTCAGCTTTTCATCGACCCAGAAGCCAAAACCCACATAAGGATCGATAGGTACGGTGCTGCCTAGCATCACTTGCAGACCGCCTAGCATCACTTGCAGACCGCCTAGCATCACTTGCAGACCGCTCGAACCTGCCAAAAGAGCAAGAGAGATGGCAACAGCTAGAGGGTCAAAGGCTGAGATGACTTATGCAGTCGAACCAGACGTCACATTGCACCACACTGCACCGCACTGCACCACACTGCACCGCACTGCACCAAACTGCACCCCACTGCAGTGACAGTCAATGTTGGCATTTTCAGAGGCGCATGCGCGACAAAGGGCCACAACGCTTCTCAGGGCCCATAGAATCGCACAGGGGAACATAGGGTCGCACACGGACACATAGGGTCGCACAGGGACACATAGGGTCGCACAGGGACACATAGGGTCGCACAGGGACACATAGGGTCGCACAGGGACACATAGGGTCGCACAGGGACACATAGGGTCGCACAGGGAGACATAGGGTCGCACAGGGACACACAGGGTCGCACAGGGACACATAGGGTCGCACAGGGACACATAGGGTCGCACAGGGACACATAGGGTAGCACAGGGACACATAGGGTCGCACAGGGACACATAGGGTCGCACAGGGACACATAAGGTCGCACAGGGTCACATAGAGTCGCACAGGGACACATAGGGTCGCACAGGGACACATAGAGTCGCACAGGGACACATAGGGTCGCACAGGGGCACAGAGGGTCGCACAGGGACACATAGGGTCGCACAGGGGCACAGAGGGTCGCACAGGGGCACATAGTGTGACACAGGCGCACACAGTGTCGCACAGTGGCACAGCCGGCCATAACTCACTTGAGAGAAGCACCACCACCCTTCCTCTTAATCTCCAGTTTGGCCGGCGTCCAATCAGTGCTCTCCGCCACGCTGGCGCCGCTCTCGCCCGTGAGCGCATGGATCGTTGCTGACGTGGCAGTGCTAGAGGTGACGGTGATGGCATCGCCTGTCATCTCCCCATCGGTGGAAAAGCCGACGCTGAACCAGCCCTTGCTGGCGGGGCCAGTCGCACGCAGGTCAAACTTCACCGTGCTTCCCACCACCTTCCAGTTCAGGCGCAGCCTGGCAGAGGGGAGGCGTGGGGGGGCGCAAAGGGGCGTGAGGGGGACCTTGCTGGCGGGGCCTGATGCGCGCAGCAGTGCTCCCTACCACCTTCCAGTTCAGGCGCAGCCTGGCAGAGGGGGAGCGTGAGGGGGGCGTGGGAACATGGGGCGTAAGGGGGGGAAGGGAAAGGGATGGGGGGAAAGGGGGGTGGGGAAGGGGGAGAAGGGGGGATAAAGGAGGGGGGTCGTTCTTTTGGAGGGGGGAGAAATGTAAGGGGAGAGAATATAAAGGGTGAGTGAATGTGGGTGCAAGGCTTTGAGACTGAAGCGCCGGTTACAGTTCAGCTTGTTTCAAACGTTTCACTTACGTGCAGGAGAACGACGTGTCTCTGTTACGCACCCTTGGCAGCAGATTCGATATAATCTCTATTCGCTACAAGCACCAAAGCACTCACCCTTTGAAAGGACGCACGGACGAGGTGTAACCCTTGATGTTGGAGTACGTGCAGGGAAGCGGCTTATTCTCGGCGAGCACACTCAGCGGCAAATTCGACACCCCCAGCAGCATCACCAGCAGGGTAGCCGCAGCAGTGTTCATGCTCCCAGAGCCATGGCTCGGCTTGCTTCTCATGGAAGCAGTGCCAGTGCCACTGCCAGAGCGGAACCGGCAGCCATTGTCGTTGATCACGGAAGGAGCCATGGTGACGAGGAGGATCCCCCAGAGAGCAGAAAAAAATGGCGAAGCAGCCTATGACGAAAAAAGCGTTTCGGCTGCAGAGTTGCGCCGACTGGTTCAAGAGAATAAGCTCGTTGCTGCTGCTCTCTGGAGGGAATCTCGACGCGACTGGGTGGAGAGAGAGTACGGTGAAGAGAGAGAAGGTTGATTCTGGCGGCCTGAAGGACTCCCATTTATGCTCAAATCGGTGATCGCGCGGCGATTCTTGGGGTGTCACAGCAGCACCTCTGGGATTCTGGTAGCACCATCGCGGAGAGCTTCGGCTGCGACGCGGCGTCGCCAGACAAAGCCGGTTTGTCGTCCAAATTACGGAAGCGGGAGCGATACTAGAGAGAATCCGCACTACCGAGCCGCGGTGTGATTGACCGGGGTTTCAAGCCAGATGCATTCTTCCAAACCTGCTGCATCAGCCGAACCAGGTTGATGTGCTTTCCGAAGCAGACGACCAGGCACGGGTAGCAGCCCGACCCTGGCAAGGGAAGGCGGCTCGCCATCCATACTGACTTTGCGGCTGTGCACTGTGCTGGGAGTATACCTAGATCGGAGGTAATCGCGGGTGTATCTAGAACGAATTCGGGGAGGGAGGCGGTACTAACCCAGTTCACACCTCGCGACAATGTTTACCGCGGCAGCATAGCAGCTTTCCGGGCAATCCAAAATTTCTTTTCCTGTTGCTGTCGCTGCTGGTCCTATAGGGTTGCTATTTTACTTGACCCCCGATTGAATCGAATCGGCACTGTACGGTACACTACTACACTGCACCTCGTCCTAAGTCTGCTGACAGCAGGTCATAACCCCCCATAGGGTTGCAAGTTGCAACTGTACTGATGCTGAGGGCCAATCTAGGGACTCGTTTATCTGTTTCTAGCGGAAACAATATGTATCACTGGAGGAAATGTGAGAAGGGTCGGTCAGTTTTCTGGGCAAAAAAGAAAGAGAGAAATCCACACCTGATGCGTGCACCCGTTTTGGTGGGCCTGACACCGCGATTTTCGGAGGTTCGGTTGGAGCAGGCCCTTGTGGAGGAACTAGTGGAGAAACTACTGCCAGTACAGTGTACTGTAATCTGTCTCGCTGCGGAGGAGGCACACGAGGAATACCCCGAAGGATGAGTGATTCCAGAACGCTTACCACATCACCCACACGTGGCAAAGCGCCGCAATCCCTAGGGCATTCACAGCGGAGGAGGCATGGAGATTACGCGGCATGCTCGACTATTGGAAGACAATCTGCAAGCACGCAAAGCACGCCTTTCCCTTCCATCGGCTGGGAAACTGCACAGGGCAAGCACGCCTGTAACGTGCGTAAGACACGCCTTACCCTTCTATGCATGTGCTCTAGGCAAATGTACGGTGCAGCATGACTGTACAAAGCGATAACGTATAAGCAGTGTGTGTGACGAAGTGGAGGTAAGGGAATGCCTTGATTCCCATGACTGATCTGGTACTGGTATATCCGTGGTGGTGAACAAGAGGGATCTGTGGTTTTCTTTTTCCATTCCATTAATTGCTGGTATATCATATATGCTTGCGTGCTTGTCTGTTTTGTTTCATGTTGTGTAATGTTTGTGCAGAACTCTGGTCGCAAGAGAAAAAATCACAGGATGTAAATACCATAAATGGGTGGCTGATTTTGCACTATCAGATGGTGGGCTACAGAGAACACCCACTAAAATGCCATTCGTGTAAATAATCGTCATGTTTCTGT